AAATTGACGACTTTTTGGTTAAAATAAATGATACTGAAAAACGTGTCTCAGATCTAGAAAAGAGTAGTAAAAAAGTAGCTAAAGGAGAACCAGAAGCCGAACAAAGAAGTTGGTTCACAAAAAAATCTACTTGAGGAACTGCTTCAATATGGACGTAATTCTAATGTTATAATAGAAGGTGTACCTGACATTGAAAATGAAAATGTTCTACAAGTAGTGAGTAAAATTGCAACTGCTATCAATGAGCCTATCAACGTGGAACAAGATATTCAGGCTGCACCCAGAGTTCCTGTGAGTAGCAAAAAAATAAAAAGATTCGCCCGATTGTCGTACAGTCCAGTAACAGACAAAAACGTGACAATTTTTTGAAAAAGGCTAAAAAAGAAAGAATTAAATCTGATGTTCTAGTTGAAAGTTCTCCCCCAAATGATGTTTTTGTAAATGATCCCCTGACTCCTTTCTTCAAAAAGCTATTTTATGAGGCTAGCCTAATCAAAAAGGGGAAAAGATTTGAATCTCTTTGGATCATGAACTCGAAAATATTTATGAGGAAAAACAAGGACAGCGAAGACATAATTAAGATCGCCAACTTTGACGATCGGATTTGGCTAAAGTTAAATAAAGCTAGGTTGATTGGTACAAGTTTAGATGGACAGACTAAATTCACTCGCCTTTCGCTCGTGACCCCAGGCCCCCTAGCTGTTAGTCGTCATTAGTGGTAGGGTGAAGGGGCGTGATTGTCGAAAAATGCCTAGAAGAGTTTTTTTAGAAAGTTTAATTCCTGACCATGAACATTCTTGCAAATCTTTGCTAGATCCGTTTTCAAGTTGTAGAAGTAAAAAACGTGTTAGGTAGTTTCGGAAGGGGGTGTTAAGTCTTGAAAATGGAGCTTTTAAAAATTTTAAGGGCTAATTTTTGGTAACGTTGTACGCTATTGTAAAGTTTAATTCTCTAGCAGGATTCTAAACTTTTTAGATCCTCATTCCAAAGTCAGCCACTTTCAAGGTTATTCTCCATAAGAATAACAAGGGGGGTGGGGGTAGTTTGATATTTTAGGGAGCCATAGAATTAGTAAATAATCTGTTATAACCTCGTAAAAGTGGAAAAATATATCAAATTCCGACATTACACATAAATTTAGGAGGTCAAGGAGTAAAGTTATGAATAAACATGAATGAGTAAAATTTGCAGCAAAGTAAGAAGAATACAAAGCATTAATAATTTTAAAAAAATATTATGTACGGGAAAAATAGCGAATATTATTAAAAATATAAAATATATTAGCCAATTTTCGAAAGAAAGGTGTTTTTAGAGGTGAAGGGGTAAAATTTTCGGAAAACACATAAAAGGGTTTTGTATAAAATTTAATTGCTGGCCATGAAAATGCATTCAAATCTTAGCTAGCTCTTATAGTTTGAGTTATAGCTGTAAAAAATGTGTTTATTTTGGATTTTTGTAAGGGGGGGGGGAGTTGAAACTTGAAAATGGGTCTTTTGCAAATTTCACCATTAACTTAGGATCCCTTACTACAATACTACCAAATAATGTCAAGTCTCTAGCACGTTTCTAGATGACCATACGAAAGTCATTAAATTTCAATGTCATTCCCCATAAGAATAACATGGAGCTCGTAAAAACTTTCAAATTTTAAGATTAAACCTACGTTTTGGGGGTCAAGGAGTAAAGCTACGAAAAACCATTGAGCAACTAAAATTTTAATTAAACCAAGGAAAACAAAAAAAGCATTAATAAAATTTGAAAAAAATAATTGCTTAGGTTGGGAAAAGTAGAATAGGACTTAAGCAAATTTCCCCATTAATTTAAAATACCATACTACGTTACTACCAAATTTCAAGTCTCTAGCACGATCCTAAACGATTCATATGATCATAACAAAGTCATTAAATTTCAATGTTATTCTCCATAAGAATAACATGGGGCTCGTAAAAACTATCAAATTTTGACATTAAAATTAAGTTTTAGGGGTCAAGGAATAAAGTTACGAAAAAACATTTAATGAGTAAAATTTAAAGTAAAGTAAGGAGAATAAAAATCAATAATAATATTTGCAAAAAGGAATGATTTAAATATGAAAAAATAGCGTAAACCGGTAAAAATTTGAAAGAAATTTAATACATTTTAAAAGTAGGGCGTTTTTTGAAACTGAAGGAGTGCGATTTTCGGAAAACGCCTAAGGGGGTTTTGTAGAAAATTTAATTCCTGACCATGAAAATTCATTCAAATCCTTTCTAGCTCTTACCGTGTTCGAGATATATCCATTTGAAAAAAACATGTTTAGTCGTTTTTACATGTCCGTCATTTTACATTTTTTAGGGGGTTGAAATTTGAAAATGATTTTTTTTTACAAAGACAATATTCAATATTATTCTTGTGTGGACACAATGAAAATCCTAGACATGCTGGTTTTAAGTACACTGTTAACAACTGGACTTCAGATAGTTAACTTAGCTGCTTATCTACAGGGTCACAAAGGGCACTTTATCCTGCTACTGGATTTATCAACTTTTATACTCCAACCTCCTTACAGTATTTTTCATGGACATTATTTTAACTAGGTGTTAGATGCTTTGAAAATTTTGCTGAACGAATAGTAATGATCCTGATACTGTACAAATTAATTAAATAGTAAGCTTTAAAATTCCCTACATTAGCAAAACATTTCAAATCTATAACATATTACAGTTATGTGTTGTAGTTTTCATTTTTTTAACAGTATATAAATGTGTATAACCTTTTAAAGATAATAAATTAAAATATTTGTAACATTTTAATGAACTCTGCAACACTTATAAGTGGTTTAGATGAATTTAATAAGTTGTTGGACAATGAAAAGGGAATTCTCTTTTTGCATCAAAATATCAGGAGTGTAAATAGAAACTTTGATAAATTTATCTCATATATTAATTTTCTAAAAAATAAGCCCCATGTTATAGTCCTTACAGAAGCATAGATGGTAAATAAATAACGAGGAGACTGCACTTTGTAGTATTAATGATTTTAATGTTTATTCTTCTTGTAATTCTAATTTGCGTAGCAGTGGTGTTATCGTTTAAATTCATCAATCTATCTCCTCAGTCTTTTGTGAATGTTTTATTGAAGGTTGTGACACTGTACTAATTTCTTGTAGTTTATCAAGAGTTAATTTTTATATTCTAGGCTTATACCGTTGGCATTCATCTAACTCAAGGGATGTTATTCAGGAACTATCTCAAACGTTATCTAGTATAAAATGCCATGATATTATTTGCTTAGGCGATTTTAATATAAATGTCAAGCTGGATAATTTTGAAACCGATTTTTATCTAGAAAGTGTTTCAAACCTGGGTTTTGAACAATTAATTGATATTGACACGCGTGTTCAAGCTAATTCTTCTTCACTTATAGATCACATATTATTTAGGTCCAGATTATACAATGCAACAAAAATATCTGTAATAGAATCAAATATAACTAATCATCGCACAATAGCTTGTCTAGTTAATTATGATTTATGTATTAAATATGTGAATAATATTTCAAGCTTCTATGTAGATTATAATGAATTAAAAACTAAAATTGTTAAAACTACTTGGAATGATGTGTTTGAAACATTAGATGTTAATTATGCTTATGATCTATTTTATGCCAAACTTTTAACTTTGATTGATAGCTGTACAATTTCTCGAATTAAGCATTAAAAAAATAAAAAAAATGCTAAAACCTTGGATGAATGCTGGTTTGCTCAAGGCTTTTACTGTTAGAGATAAATTATACAAGTTACACAAAAGAAATCCATCCCCAAAAAATAGAGATAAATTTGTTAGTTATCAGAACAAAATAAGAGATTGGATTAAGGTTGCTAAGTTTACATATTACAGTAAATTGTTTCATAATGTAAAATTATTTGTTTGATAATTTTAAGGATAGTAGGAAGCAATGGCGAGTAATAAACAGTATTATAAAAGGTCAAGGTTCAAAACATTCTGATATATTGCTTAAGAAAGAGGGTTCTCTTATTAGTGATAGAGATGTAGCCAAGATTTTTAATGAATATATGAATAGTTCCTGAAACAGTTGCTGCCTCATGTCATGATCCCTCTCCTCAGTGTCAGTTAGTATATTCCCAATTTTAACAGAATTAAATTAATTTTAACAGAATTAATTTTAACAGCGCCACCAGCGTTGCTATGCTGAGTGCATAGCAACTGAACGCTGGTGGCGCTGCCTACGGATTGACAGGCAAAGCTCTCTCAAAACACTTAATGCATTTTACCATGCGGTTGGCATTCTGGGTTATAGTAGTACGTTTTCTGTGCCGGAGGAGACGATTACGATCCCTACATTACCGAAGGAGGTACAATAATGATATCGGCCGCGAGGGATTATCAGAATTTTACTGCGATTGTGCAAGACAATGATAATGTCTACACGACCAAGAGAAAAGATCAGAATTTTGCCTCATTCGCGGTAGACGACAATAATCTACTCACGACCGTGGGATAAGTTTATATATTGCCGCGATCATGGAAAACGATAATTATGTCTACACGACTGTGGGGAATATTTAGAATTCGCCGCGATCGCGGGAGACGATAATGATGTCTATACGGCCATGGGAGATGATAATGATGTCAACACGGCCGCGAGGGATTATCAGAGGTTTACCGCGATTGCATGTAAAAACAATCATCAAATTATTTTTTTATTTTTCAATTTTTTGCACCCCCCAAAAAACCAATTGCCTCGCGCCCTAGGCACGTGCCTACCGTGCCTATTCGGTAAATCGGCCCTGACACATGTTCTTGTGTATGTATGAATTGTAATATATAAAGAACATTTTGATATATATATGTCTATGTCGAAAAGCTGAATAAAGCTCAAGCTATTTTGTATCAAGCATATATGGATGTTTGGTTCGTATGTTATATGTTTGGTATTAGTTTTAAAGCTTCTTCTGTGGAACAACCATCTTGCTATTTACCCATTTTTTACAATTTCAGGCAAAGACAAAAGTACATCACTAGGTATCTTCCCTGGGCCATTCAAACAGGACTGAATAGCAAACCTTTGCTTTGTGTGTACTTTGAGAAGAGATGGGAACAGCCTATTTCTGAGTTGCATAAAGAGTTGAACATTGTGCCTCTAGAACCAGTTTAGATGACAAGACAAAAGTAAGATCACAATCAAATTTTCGTAGTTTATATTTTTAATTAATCTAAACATAAGGTAATCTAGTTTCTGTAATACCTTCTATATCAACAATATATAAGCGACTAAGCGAGTAATGTATAATAGACTGATTGATCACATTTACAAAAGAATAACCTTTTATACGAAGAAAAGCATGGTTTCAAAAAAAGAAAATCAACTACCCCAGGTCTGTTAAAATTTTTGGAATTTATAATTGATTCTATTGACAAAGGGAATAAGGTACCGTACTCAGTGTCTTCATGGATTTGTCAAAAACATTTTACAGCGTGTCTCATGAACTACTTCTCAACAAGCTTAAAGTTTGGGGCCTACTAGATATTAAATTTAAATGGTTTAACATGCTAAGCGCGCGGGGCAGTGTTCATTCAATGAAATTTACTATAATATTTCTTAAACACTCCCCTCAAAAATTAAACAGTTCAAAATAGGCCACAGAGAACATGTTACAATAAAAGTGAAATCTGGGCCCATAACCACTTGTTTATCTATCTATATATTAATTTGAAGCCGATTCTATGCGTCTAAATTGCAGCCACTGGGAAGTCGTAGAAAGACGGGAGAGGGTTCAAATTAAAGGTCTCGATCCCGTGATGGCGGGAAAATTAGTGAAATTCCCTCAATTTTAACACAAAGCTAGATATAACGTGAAATTGTCTCCATAAGAATAGCATTAGAAGCCATTTACTGCTGATTTTTGTTTACTTCAATACAGCTGATGATGATTTATCATCAAACCAGTTAGCAATGTTACATTTTGGATTACTTATTTGCCAGTCAATTCTGAAGTGTAGGCCTACTGTATACTATATAAAACCAGCGTTAACGTTACCTATAATAATTAAGACTTTTTAGTTACGTAGGCTACGTCTTAGAAAGTCAAAATCAATCGTTTTACTGTGCAATTTGCAGACTTGTGTATCTGAGTGAAAATTTAAAAACGTACGTTTTCATGTCCCTGGCCTTTTACTTCGTAGATACTGGATTTATAGTTTATTATTATGTGTTTTAATATTTTTTGGGACGGGGGCAACATGTTACACACATTTATTTGGTTTTAAATAGGTTCTAGGTATTTTTTTCGTATTTTTAAAGTCCCGAAATTCACGACCATGACGTGTCCCTAGGGTACATTTTCCAACTTTCACGCTGTTTTTAGACTAATTATTCATGCCGAAATATATAAAGCCATATTTTTATGTCATCAATGGTTATTAAACTTACAAAAAAGGAGCATATTATAATTTTATTGTCATTGCAGACTGACTACCATGACAAAATAAGTCTGTCCCTCGATTTGGCGTCACGACCATTTGGGAAAAATTTTCAACTTTGGAGCACGACAGTGGCAAGCCTGGCGTCGATGGAGTCAGTTGGTTTTAGAGACTAGTTCGGGGTGTACGTCAGGATTGTAGTGCCGGTCGTTTTGAGTTGAAAGGAGGAATTACAAGATTAATAAAGGAAAGATTGTGTTTTTTGTAATTTTGGTGTGTCCATGACCGTACGTAGTCATTCAATGAAGTAGACATGGTGTTAATTTTTGTTTATAAGACATTTCAATTGCTAGATTAACCTAGAAGTCCACTTTGTATCCTCGAACATGAGGTGCAGGGCTACCGCCAGAACAGAGCCAAATAACACGTAATTTCACGACCAAAGTTTCACGACCATCGCGGTTTTTTTCACGACCAATCCAGCCTTATGGATTATAGTGTGTTTGGTCGTGACAATAACTTTAATATAATTGTAAATTGAACAGTTTAGTTCAATTGAAACACATAGTTTTATTATAACTAACAGTCTAATTGAAGGATTGTTTAGAAAGATTTTGATTATTCCAGAGAATTCACGACCGTACCGCTTGTCCCTGACCATCACGTTTATGATTTCTATCATTAAAATTTCAAAAATTAAAATATCGTCATATTTCAATGTTTTATACACAAAAGAAGCACACCTCTATACAAACATAACGATTTTTCGGGTCTCAGGTAAGTTTTTTCGGAGTTATACAAACTTAAAAAGATTTTATTGGTTTTTTTTCTATTTTTTGAGTTTTTTTATTTTTTTCTAGAAAGACCAAATATACCAAAAGCTCAATGACCTTTTTATTGTATAATGGTCATAAAAGTAAATTAGTTTATAGCAAAACATAGTTATAAAAATAATATTAACTATTTTTAATATTCATTTAAACGTTCGTTATGGTTGTGACAGGATTTTGTGTTTTTCTACGAAAGATGCTCTTTAAAAAGAAAATTACCAAAGATATTGCGTTACCATGGACATTTTATGAAACTTCAAATGTTAATGAAATAAAAAAAATAATAAAAGTTTTGAAAAAGGGGGAAAAAATTTGCAAAGTGTTTTTTCTGAAAACGTACGTTTTTAAATTTTCACTCATCTATATATCTAATTCCGTAAGCCCAAAATTTTACAATGAAATTGTGAGCGAACGGGAGGCTGTAGAAAGCTGGGAGAGGCCTCATTTTAAAGCTCTGGGCATGAAATTTTGGGGAAAAATATTCATTTTTCTTAATTATGCACCAAAAGGTTGTTACGGAATAAAATAATTCACATTTAAATAGCATGGAAATCTAGGTCATGTCTGCTTTGTTTACTTTAAAACATGTGGTTTAACTTTATTTAAAGCATATGGTGATATGTAATAGTCAAAGGTCTTTGACTATTAATACAACAACTAGACATTCCATCCCCATGTTAAAGTTGTAGCCAGGTTTTTAATAAAATTTGTTAGTTGATGTGAGCCCCCTACAGATTGCGCTGATCTAAATTACTGATGTCTGCCAATTACACGATGGTTTTTACCAAGTCAAACTGATGGAATGACTTATTATGTGCTATAGCAACTGTTGTGACCCAGCAACGATGTCAGTAGCCAGCAATAGTCAATGGTAATATGTACTGTAATATGTATACTACATATTATAAAGCTGAAATAGACTTTTCCTTATTTTAAGGGTCTGGATTATAGTTAATGGAGTATGATTGGTTGTGTTAGGTGTGTCTGAAAAAAGTGTTAACCTAGAAGTAATTGCTGGAGTAGGCAAATGGAACATATTATCATGCCAAAATAAAACTAATATCTACAGATCCTAATATGCCGTTTATAAGGATTCAATTCCTATTGCGATTAGCTTTCGCTATTCCTATAATTTAAGCGCGAGGCCCGCATACCTTCACAAAAGTCGGCATCTATTTGAAAAAATAACCCATGGACAACTTTATGTTGCTTTTAGCCAGGTTAAGCGGCCAGATGATGTTAAAATAGTACTAGAACCAAATAAAGACCAAGGAATCGACCAAGATTAATAGGCCTACTATACAACAAATGTTATTTTCAGAGAGATTTTGTTATAGAATTAGCATTTTACAATTTGGAGGATGACATTATCTATATGTGTTTTATCGAAGTGAATTTGTCTACATTCAAAGAAATATATATATTTAATTAATATTCATGAAGATTATCATTGAAAATGTTCCTTGGTGGTATTATAATTAGAAAGTTCATATTGTAAACACACTGCATGAACAGTCCTTTTGAATTTTTTTTTTTAAACAGAGCAGACATCAAAATGCATTATGCAGGGTATGTAATAAATATTATATTACACACAAATTTTTAACGATAATTCAAGGTAGGGTAACCCATGAGACTAATAATTTGTACAAAATAATTACTAGAATATAGACCTATAGGGGCTATTGCCCCTACAAGCCACTAGTTTTTAAGTAAATTAGTTAAGCGTATGATAAGTAGTAGAATAATAGCAGATGGCTCAAATCAAAGGAATTGAACTTAGAATGGCTGTATAATAATGAAGTTTTCTTCTAATTTGAAGGTTATTGTTGTGTTATGTTTAACATGAAATAACCACATTGACTAAATAATAAATGATTCAAGATTAAATGGAAAACTTCTACTTTGTTTTGATTTCAAAAAATATGTTAACGATTTATTCTACACCTTTTTTTGTAAATTTACTAACATTTATATTTGAGATTTATCGTAGGGTTTTAATCTATATTTTGTATGAAGTGGAATAACCTTAACGGTCACTATAAGAGGATAATTTGTGAATAAAGATGAAATAGGTTCGTGCAGGTATTTGTTCATTAAGTAAGTACTATGATGAGTTCCAGTGAGCGGAAAAATAATTTTGTTCGGAGAAGATTTTAAGCTTTTCTTTTGCTCCAAGCAAAAAATGTTCAAATAATATAGCCTAAGCCTAGCATGCACGGTAGTAAAGGGAGCAGCCGTATCTACAGTAAAACCTAGAGGTAGTTTCCGTTTCTTAAAACTTACCAAAAATATGCATGTCGAAGATGCTGATGAAAATTAATTTCGTGATTGCCTTCGATAACTGGGTAATGGAACCCTAACCGGTCGCAAAACAGTTAGTAATCAGGCATTGATTAGGCACTTATTTTGAAAGAATGTGTAAAGTCAAGTCAACCTCATTGGAGGAATACCACAGCATAAACTTACACAAGGCTTATTTATTTAGCAGTTTTTTAAATGTTGTTTAGAAACAAATTTAGGGTTAAGTTTGGTCAATGGGATGCCTCTTCTTTATACTAATTTTGTTAAACCTTTACAAAAGGAGCATAAACTTAGAAATAATAACTGGGTCTGGGTGTTAGTTTGGTGGTTGAAAATAATGTCGACAAAAGCAAACAAAGACAACAAACTGTTTTTTTTTTACACAAAAGATATGTTGTACTGGTATCTATCCAGAAACATAGATAATTTGATTCTGAGTTTGTTTAAATATTACAACAATTTGTTTTATATTTGAGCTTTTTAGGGACTTATGTCCCTACAGGCCACTAGTACAAATTGATTTTCCTTTATAATAATTAGGAGTAAAATGACTACACATTATGGTTTCTAAAGTCCATAGTGGAAGTGAATTTTATTCACAACAAATAATAAACATAGCAAACACATGGCATATAATATCATACATGACAGCTGCTTTAAACTTAATACCAAGAAGGCAATGAGGAACAAGATTACAAATAAATTCCAACAGTTTTCTCTTCTTTTGGAGGAACCTTTAAATAATATTAAAATCGTATTGGTGGATCTTTTGTGGTAAACACTTCCACGATTTCATCAGTGTTATGCAGATTAAATTTTTGCTTTTTCTTAAAAAAATATCTGTTTGTTGAGAAGGCACGTTCTTAATTCAAACGGAGGCCCACCCTAAAGCTGTGTAAGTTTTATTTTTTCCTTCGTCACGTCGGTCCCTCAAAATTGTGCTTGATGCCGGTAACGTCAACTGCACAGCACTGCCATGTCGGTGTGTGTGTATGCAGTTACATTTGGTAGCACTGGATCCCAACTCCTATGAAACCGGGGCAGTGCCGGTGTCGTGTCGCCTAGTGTGAAAATGGCCAATTAATGGAGAAAAGTCCAAACAAAATTTAGATACAGCCCTGAAACTAGAAAAAAGACTATTTAAGAATCATGCAATACTTGGACAAACAAATAACTGCAAAAAGATAAATTTTCAAAACTTTATATTTTGACCTTTTGCTTTTATGATCAATCCTAGGTCTATATTATAATAATGTGTAATGTGTGTTAAAAATCAACTACAAAAACTTGAAACTAGAAAGTCTTCATTAGCATGGAACTAGAAATAAATACCCTCACCGCAGCAAACTGCAGACTAAGCGAATTTCCGTTTGCTTAAATTAATTTTCACTAAATCTATGTTTCAATAACATTAGGCTTAAGAAGTACAGTATACTCCCTCTTTTCCGGACACCTTTTAACCGGACTACACTTGGCGGAAATGACATCTCTATAACTAGACAATTCTTTGCAGCACATCGGTTTAACCGGACTAGATCGACTGGAAGTGGGCTGTACTGAAACGACTGTTCTTGTGGGAAAGATTTGAGACCAGTGATCACGTGTCTTAATACAATACTCTCCTAAATTTAAGTCAAATATTTGGGTTACATAACAAGTTTTTGTGGACGTCGGTTAAACCGGAAAAACCGTTATCCAGACTGGCCTCGGTCCCAAGGAGTCCGGATGGGAGGGAGTCTACTGTATCTAGGTTTGCTGCTACAGGGGGGTTAATAAAGTGGGTTTTGTTTTGTAAAATATGAATCACTTAGTATAAAATAAATAAATCTGCCAAGTTTGATCAAAATATATCCATAAGCAAGCGAACTATAACAGCTTACTTATTCTCCATAAAAATAACATGGTTATTTTGAATTTAAATTTTTTTAATTTTAGCGAATTTTCCATATAGAGAATAAGCTATTACCATTGTACTCATAAAATCAAATAAAATCATTTATTGTCCATAAACATATATATACAATGCATAGACAAAAGTCACCAGTTTCAAAATAAAAGTCATCAAAAGTCAGTCAGAAAAAGAATACAATTTCAATGTATATAAAAAACAATAAGAAATACCTCTTAGGGCCGCTTTCCCCAAATCAAGTTTAACTTAATCTCGGTTAACTTTAATCTGTGGGTTAAACTTAGGATGGCTTTCCCCAATATGAAAGTCATGAAAGTTTAGTTTAACCTAGCTTTTCTTTGCAAGCAACAATGTTGGCAACACTGTTATGCAATTTTGTCTGCAATATTAGCTGTTTAACTTCCCACTATGACATATCTGTCATTAATTTTCTCGTGTTTTGGTTATTTGTATTAGGTTTCGTGTCATTGTCTCCAATTGTTGACATTAAAAAGAAACATTTTTATTTGCAGGCTAATAAATTGTACTGATGCTAATTTATAAGCATTTCATTTATTGTGTTTATTTAAGCTCAAACTTAATTAAACAGTAGGCCTACTGTACGCATCAAATAAAAGCATTTACAATCATGGGAAAATAAAATGTTGGGAAAGACGCAAAATTAATATTTGTGGATTAAAAACTAGAGCCTATCCTTTGTAATGGCAGGCCTATGCTACTCAGCATTAGACACGTTCGATGTTTCTAAACTAAATTTAATTTTAGGCGTACTGCAGTAGTTGTTAATTTACACATGATAATTAATAGACTAGTGTTTAGGCCCGAATGTTTAATATTTACTTTTGTGTAATGTAAGACTCGTGTTAAAATAAAATGAAACCAAAAGGCTTCTTATGAGCAAACTTTCCAACCACTGTTGCGTTGCTGTGGAGAAGGTAACCTATCGATTGTACACAACTACGATACTACCTACCGAAAATATAATAATTTAGGCCTACTCTACGCATTTAAAAACCTTAAAACCATTACTGTATATCTGTAGCCTTATATCTTTAAATTTGAAATAGTCATGAATTGTCTACATAGGTTCTGGTTTGTTATTTTTAATTTATTTCCAGTTCAATTTATTTTAGGTTATGTTTAACAAATGTCAAACAAGGATATTTGCCATTGCCGTCTGCCGAACGTAACAAGTCAGCCAAGAGCCAATCAAAATCAAGCTATTATTCTTCTCTCCTGGGTTAACCCACGGATCGCCAGTTAAACCTGCCTCACCCCTAGGGTTAACTTAAACCTAGTTTAAACGGAGAAATTATTTTGGGGAAAGTGGATCTGAGGTTAAACTAGAGTTTAAACCACGATCAGAGTTAAACTTGATTTGGGGAAAGCGGCCCTTAGTGTACATACCTGGGATCAACTTAGATCACTCAAAATGTAGTTTATCCAAATTGTTATGCCGAATCGGTACCTATTTAAATCTGAAATTTTTGATGAATACTGTCTTTTTTTAACTAGCCAATTCTTCAAAGCAATTTTGAATTTAGTGCCTTCTAATTCCTTTATATTGTTTGGTAGGAGGTTGAAATAAATTGACCCCATCACAAAAGGACTTCGGCCAGTTCTGTTGAAATTCCTCCTCACACGGTGAAAATCATCCTTTCGTCTCGTGTTGTACCTGTGGATTTGACTATTTTTATTTGTGTGCTTTACATCATTTTTCACAAGCATAATCTTACTAATATTATAAATGTGAAAGTTTGTGTGTTTGTTTGTTTGTTTGTTTGTGTGTTTGAAGTTCAATCACGCATAAACCACTGGACGGATTGGGCTGAAATTTGGCATGATGATAGCTTACATTCCCGATTAACATATAGGCATATTCTTATCTCAAAAACCCCTTCGCCGTCCGCCCCAGTGGCTCTGTAATTCCCCATGTTTACCTTACGAGTATTCATATTTAAAGGGAATTAGAGAATTTAGTCTATATCTATCTATTTAGTCATTAAGGTTAAAAAGTGAGGTTAACATGATACAGCACTGACTGTTTGTGATTCTAAAAATTGTTATTTTTCTAAGTTTTAAAGAGGTTTTATTTTACTAGGTGGCGTTCGCAGAGGCATCCACAAAATTGAGCGGAGTCGTCAAGGGTTCATATTAGGCTATATTGTTTTTGTCATACTGCAGTAAAAACAGTCGTTTGGAATGCGTGCGTTTTGGGCCTAAAGTAGCACTCTTTAGGGAGTAAAAATAGTTTTTAGCCTCCATGAAGTAAAAATCAGCTGTTGTGAACTCAGTTGTAAATTTCTATTGTAAACGATTGCATGTATCGAAATATGTATCGATTCGTGCTTCGTAATCATTTTAACCTACAATCATTGACTATACACCTCTGTATAGTCAATGCTACAATCTACAGTCTCTTCCCATAGCATTTTAGCATTGCAGATACATTGATCTATTCCCACACTCAACATTGCTCACCTTCTCACTACTTCCTTCGCCACCCCCTACGTCGTGGACCTGTTTCCCTCTCTTCCCATAGCATTTTAGGATTGCAGATACATTAATGTAATTGCCAAAGAGAGTTCCCACACTCTGCACTGCAAGCCTTACTACTTCCTTCACCATTTCCTACGTCATAGACCTGTTTCCTTCCCTTCTCATAGCATTTTAGGATTGAAGATACATTAATCTAACTGCCACAGACGGTTCATCCACTATGCTCATACATTATTACTTCCTAAGCCACTTCCTACATCGTGGACCTGTTTTCATCACTTTACATAGCATTTTATTATTTTAGATACGTTAATCTAATTGCCGCAAACATTGCCCACACTCCATACTGCTAGCCTTTACTACTTCTTTCACCATTTTCTATTTCGTGGGCATGCTTCCATCCCTTCTAATGGCATTTCAGCATTGCAGATAAATCAATCTAACTGCTACAAACGGTTTCCAGTTCCCACACTCCACAATGCTCTCCTTACTACTTCCTTCACCTCTTCTTACGTCGCGGACCTGTTTCCCTCTCTTCCCATCGAATTTTAAGATTGTAGATACCTTAATCTAATCGGCATAAACAGTTCCCACACTCCGGACAGCTCGCCTTGACTATTTCCTTCACCACTTCCTATGTCTCGGACCTGTTTCCCTCCCTTCCCTTAGCATTATTGGATTGCAAATACCTTTTGGTCATAAACAGATCCCACACTCCGAACAACTGGCCTTTACTACTTCCTTCACCACTTCCTACGTCACCAACCTGATTCTCTCACTTTCCATAGCATTTAAGGACTGCAGATACCTTAATCTAATCGTCATAAAGATTTCCCACACTCCGAAAAACCCGCCGTTACTACTTCCTTCACCAGTTCCTACGTCTCTGACCTGTTTCCCTCCCTTCCCTTAGCATTATTGGATTGCAAATAACTTAATCTATCGGTCATAAACAGATCCCACAATCCGGACAGCTCGCATTTACTACTTCCTTCACCACTTCCTACGTCACGGACCTGTTTCCCTCCCATTCCATAGCATTTTAGGATTGCAGATACCTTAATCTAATCGTCATAAACAGTTCCCACACTCCGGACAGCTCGCCTTTACTACTTCCTTCACCACTTCCTACGTCACGGACCTGTTTCCCTCCCTTCCCATAGCATTTTAGGATTGCAGATACCTTAATCTAATCGTCATAAACAGTTCCCACACTCCGAACAACTCGCCTTCACTACTTCCTTCACCACTTCCTACGTCAAGGACCTGTTTCCCTCCCTTTCCATACCATTTTAGGATTGCAGATACATTAATCAAATCGTCATAAACAGTTCCCACACTCCGAAAACCCCGCCTTTACTACATCCTTCATCACTTCCTATGTCACGGCCCTGTTTTCCTCCCTTCCTTAGCATTATTGGATTGAAGATACCTTAATCAATTGGTGATAAACAGATCCCACACTCCAGACAACTCGCCTTTAGTACTTCCTTCACCACTTCCTACGTCACGGACCTGTTTTCCTCTTTTTCCCTCCCTATAGCATTATAAGATTGCAAATACCTTAATCTAATGGTCATAAACAGATCTTATACCCCGGACAGTTCGTCTTTACTGCTTCCTTCATCACTTCCTACGTCACAGACCTGTTTACCTCCCTTACCATAGCATTTTAGGATTGCAAATACCTTAATTTTAGGATTGCAAATACCTTAATCTAATGGTCATAAACAGTTTCCACACTCCGGACAGCTCACCTTGACTACTTCCTTCACCACTTCCTACGTCGCGGACCTGTTTTCCTCTTTCTCCCTTCCCATAGCTTTTTAGGATTGCAAATACCTTAACCAAATGGTCATAAACAGATCCTATACCCCGAACAGTTCGCCTTTACTGCTTCCTTCATCACTTCCAACATCACGGACCTGTTTCCCTCCCTTCCCTTAGCATTATTGGATTGCAAATAACTTAATCTATCGGTCATAAACAGATCCCACAATCCGGACAGCTCGCATTTACTACTTCCTTCACCACTTCCTACGTCACGGACCTGTTTCCCTCCCATTCCATAGCATTTTAGGATTGCAGATACCTTAATCTAATCGTCATAAACAGTTCCCACACTCCGGACAGCTCGCCTTGACTATTTCCTTCACCACTTCCTATGTCTCGGACCTGTTTCCCTCCCTTCCCTTAGCATTATTGGATTGCAAATACCTTTTGGTCATAAACAGATCCCACACTCCGAACAACTGGCCTTTACTACTTCCTTCACCACTTCCTACGTCACCAACCTGATTCTCTCACTTTCCATAGCATTTAAGGACTGCAGATACCTTAATCTAATCGTCATAAAGATTTCCCACACTCCGAAAAACCCGCCGTTACTACTTCCTTCACCAGTTCCTACGTCTCTGACCTGTTTCCCTCCCTTCCCTTAGCATTATTGGATTGCAAATAACTTAATCTATCGGTCATAAACAGATCCCACAATCCGGACAGCTCGCATTTACTACTTCCTTCACCACTTCCTACGTCACGGACCTGTTTCCCTCCCATTCCATAGCATTTTAGGATTGCAGATACCTTAATCTAATCGTCATAAACAGTTCCCACACTCCGGACAGCTCGCCTTTACTACTTCCTTCACCACTTCCTACGTCACGGACCTGTTTCCCTCCCTTCCCATAGCATTTTAGGATTGCAGATACCTTAATCTAATCGTCATAAACAGTTCCCACACTCCGAACAACTCGCCTTCACTACTTCCTTCACCACTTCCTACGTCAAGGACCTGTTTCCCTCCCTTTCCATACCATTTTAGGATTGCAGATACATTAATCAAATCGTCATAAACAGTTCCCACACTCCGAAAACCCCGCCTTTACTACATCCTTCATCACTTCCTATGTCACGGCCCTGTTTTCCTCCCTTCCTTAGCATTATTGGATTGAAGATACCTTAATCAATTGGTGATAAACAGATCCCACACTCCAGACAACTCGCCTTTAGTACTTCCTTCACCACTTCCTACGTCACGGACCTGTTTTCCTCTTTTTCCCTCCCTATAGCATTATAAGATTGCAAATACCTTAATCTAATGGTCATAAACAGATCTTATACCCCGGACAGTTCGTCTTTACTGCTTCCTTCATCACTTCCTACGTCACAGACCTGTTTACCTCCCTTACCATAGCATTTTAGGATTGCAAATACCTTAATTTTAGGATTGCAAATACCTTAATCTAATGGTCATAAACAGTTTCCACACTCCGGACAGCTCACCTTGACTACTTCCTTCACCACTTCCTACGTCGCGGACCTGTTTTCCTCTTTCTCCCTTCCCATAGCTTTTTAGGATTGCAAATACCTTAACCAAATGGTCATAAACAGATCCTATACCCCGAACAGTTCGCCTTTACTGCTTCCTTCATCACTTCCAACATCACGGACCTGTTTTCCTCCCCTCCCATAGCATTTTAGGATTGCAAAAACCTTAATCTAATGGTCATAAACAGATCCTATACCCCGAATAGTTCGCCTTTACTACATCCTTCATCACCTTAATATATTCGTCATGAACAGTTCCCACACTCCGGACAGCTCACCTTGACTACTTCCTTCACCACTTCCTACGTCGCGGACCTGTTTTCCTCTTTCTCCCTTCCCATAGCTTTTTAGGATTGCAAATACCTTAATCTAATGGTCATAAACAGATCCTATACCCCGAATAGTTCGCCTTTACTACATCCTTCATCACCTTAATATATTCGTCATGAACAGTTCCCACACTCCGGACAACTCGCCTTGACTACTTCCATCACCACGTCCTACGTCGCGGACCCATTTTCTTCCCTTCCCATAGAATTTTTGGAATGCAGATACCTAATTCTAATCGTCACAGTTTCCACACTCCAGACTGCTCACCTTTACTACTTCCTTCACCACTTCCTACGTCACGGATCTCAAGCTTGTGTCGTCATTTGATTATAATTTATGATTCATACCGTTTCTGTTCTAATATCTGTGGATTAATGCTATCAGCTATTTCTTTATCTACTGCATTTAAAAGTCATCAGCTGATCATATGTTTTTGTTTATGTGTCAAATACTGCTTCCATAAGGATTACATTGAAACTTTGAGACCCAGTGGGGCAGATTCCTGAGAGACTTTTTTAACGCCATATAGATGTTGGCACTCACCAATATGGTCTTTATCACCATGCAAAATTTGAAAACAATTGATTCAGCCGTCTAGGAGGAGTTTGCGTATTACGAAATGCATAAGAGTCGAACTATAAGAGCTTCGCTCGCTTCGCCCGCTCCGCTCAAAAATTTGTGTTGTATAATCAAGTCTTACCAATTAATTGCAAATTGAATGGATAGACTGCATTTTTTAGTGAAAAGTTTTCTTTAGAAGCATGCAAATAACACCACATAACCTACAACGTAAACCTACAAAAACAATACAGGACGTAAAAAACACATACATTTAAACACGAACAAGTATAAAACATATTACGAACGAGATCAATCTATCAAACGGGCCCGTCACGGTTATCGGCGGCAGGAGGATATGTTTTATACGGGCCCGTTCGATAGATTGATCTCGTTCGTAATATGTTTTATACTTGTTCGTGTTTAAATGTATGTGTTTTTTACGTCCTGTATTGTTTTTATAAACATTTTAACGACGTCAATTTGACCGACATGTGAGCAAGAAGTTATCCTGCTGACTTACGTGATCATGGTGCAACTCAGCATCGAAACCTGGTTGTAGAGTTTTAACGACCATTTGAGCTTCTGACAAAGGTAACTTAAAACCATTTATTAAGTCTTATAGCTCAGGAGCAGAAAAAACAAAAATGTTTAAATTTAATAAATTTGTCTTTAGCCTTTTGTTATGTAAGTAGGACTAACTAACCAAAAGAGTATAAAATGTTTTAACTACATTCATAAATACACAGCATTAATAAAGGATTGTATTGCATAGATTTAGCAATGTATGTAAATAAAATAGTTAAAATAAGAAACATAATGTACTTGTTAGTTCTTATTTCTGTGACTCTATTCATGTATGTATGTACAGTTTGAATAAAGATGATTTGATTTGATTTGATTTGATTTGATTTAGTCAGCGGTTTCAACTAAAAAAGTTGGTTCTATGATATGGAAAAGCATTAAAAAGTTATAAGATATACCAACAGGGTGCAGTACTATATATTTTCGCATTTATGAAAACAGCTAATTTGAACTAAGCAGCAACAAAAAACTGTGATTGGCAATGAGAACTGTCAAAGTAGGATTGTTTACAGTTGTTTATGTTTTTCATTTCATGAATAATTTGTGATATTTTGCGAATTGTTGATAATTTATTTTTCTCTATTGTTTAGGTGAAGTGGTACAACATTATGGCTATGGTAGATGTGTAATACTATAGAATACTGTAAATTTAAAAATCGCTTCTCGGCCTGTTGGCTAAAAAGTGTAGTATCTGTAAATAAAAAAAAAAAATTTTATCAAACTGTGTCCTCCCTTATTGAAAACGTAAAGCTTGAGTATAACTGCAATAAGCATTTTATACTTATATTCCAACCCCGTACGAAGGACGGGTACTCTGCTAGTTAATTGATAAATGTATAGTCCATACAAAGTGAGGAGATTTAAATTAACCAAAATATCTTTACAAGACCTTTTGTACCATACTTTGGCTTTCAGTCTGATTGCTCTTTTCTGGAGAACAAAAATTTTATGTAAATTACAGTCGGGAGAACTTCCCTAGAAAATAAGGCCACAAGACAAGAAAGGAAATATGACACCAAAATAAATTCTTTTTAACGTATCTGTATCTAAATAAAAAGATATTCTTCTGAGGAGGCTGATTCCACTTAAAAGTCTAGATCTTACATGAGATATATGATTCATAAAAGTTAAGGTCTGATGTATACATAGTCCCAAAAACTTACAGCACTCTTTACTTTAAAATATCACATCATCCTTAACTAAATCTATTAGAGGAATGGGCGTACTACTCAATCCGAAAACTACAATTTCTGTCTTATCAAGGTTGACTTTGAAATTAATATTTTCAAAATATGAGCTAGCTTTATGTACAAAATCGGCCATGCCCTGTTTGAGTTCATCAAAAGACTGAGCCCAGCATACACCTGACGTGTCGTCAGCATACATACTAATTTCAACGTTATTGATAGTAGGAAAATTACAAACATAGATATTATACAGATGAGGGCCCAAAATGGACCCTTGTGGGACTCCTGAAACAACATGTTTTTGTTCTGACATGACATTGGCCAATGACCAACCATTGTCATAAAAAATCTCGGTATACTGAATACGATTGGTTAAAAAGCTGCTAATCAACAATGTCAGCCAAGAAGGGAGGCCAATCTCAACCAACCTATTGACAAGGATTGCATGGTTGACCCTGTCAAAGGCTTTAGAGAGATCCAAACACACCCCAGCCACTTTACAACCACTATCCAACTTGTTCAAGGCAGTGTGGACAAATTCAGCAGCAGCCGAGGTAGTACTCCTACTCTCTCTAAAGTCGTGTTGGCATTCAGGTATTATGTCATGTTCAATAGTGAACTTTTTTAGGTGCTTAAGCATGAGTTTCTCCACAACCTTACTGAAAGTGGATGTCAAAGAGATGGGCCGATAATTGGAAGCATTATCTTTCGGACCCTTCTCGTGCAATGGTTTTACAACAGTTAGTTTTAAAACATCGGGGAAAATACCACTAGCAACTGTATATTGTAACAAATGACACAAAACAGGAGCAAGTTCATATTTACAATAATTCAAAAGCTTTGGAGAAAAGTCATCCCATCCACATGATAGTTTGTTATTAAGGTCGTTGATCAGCTGCAATGTATCATCCAAGGTTACCACAGGGCACATAGGAGTCTCTTCCCTACTATTTGGTTTCAACATAGATGTGATTTGGCCTTTAGAACAACCCTCAAATGGGTTTACAAAAAAATCATCGAACAAGTTACTTACACATACAGGGCTATTTACAACAACATTTTCCTTCTTTCAGAGAAATATTTACAAACTCATTTTTACTTAAATTTGTCAACCTGAGATTATTGACCAGAGCCCAAGCTCTCTTTGAAACATTCTGAGAGGAGTCTATTTTAGATTTTATTAAGCTAGCCTTCTCATTTCTTACCTCAAGTCTAAACACAACAACAAGTCTAAAGTTGTTTTTTAGTTGCTTATAAGAATCCTTAAAAGCTAGATTGCCTGTTTGTTTGAAAAGGTATGATTGGTATAACATATCTTCCTTTAATATCAAAGTTTCATTGCCTAACCTAACCTTATTGGACAACTTGTTACCATTGCTGTCCCTATTTTTAACATTTATTTTGACCGATTTTTTTGGACAGTTCCAATCAAGGTACCACTGCAATGTACCAGCAAGATTTTCCCATTTAACATTTATATCATTAGAGGAGTAAACATTTTCCCAACTTTCGGTATCTAGACACATTTTTAGGCTATTTACATTTTTATCAGAGAAACTTCTTTTAGAAGTTCTTCTTATGCTACTTTTAATATTTACATGAGATAGGCTGTCATCAAATACATCATTTACCTGACCAAAATGGTAAGAAATACCACCATCAACAACATAGGCTTCAAAGTTTTTGGCATTCGTAATAACATGGTCGATTGAACTAACTGAGTTATGTGCTAATCTAGTTGGAACAGTTGCATGAACATCATCTAAATCATACACTTTTACTTAGATCGCTGAAATCCGTATAAAGCCTATTTGTACATAGTGAATTAATGTTCAAGTCACCCAAAATTACAATATTTGCACGGTTACCTTTGTTTGGCCCATTTATTCTATTGAGAACAGTATCAAATCTCTGAAAGAAGTTGTCAAAGTTCCCGTTACCAGATCTGTAGATACCTAAAATTAGGATCACAAAATTTAAGATAACAAGTTTACCCATGACTAACTCGCAGTCTAAGTCGGCACAGTATTCATTAGTCCAGGGAATGGTAGAAACAAGGCTAGATATATCAGAATGTGCATAGAGAACTATACCCCCACCCTTGTGATTCTTTCGGCAGAAAAATGATATCAGTTTATAGTTATCGAATTTAAAGAGTTCCAAGTCCTTATCTGTTGACTGATGTTCACTTAAAATTAGGAAATGAGGATGAACATCATACACAAAGTGCTCAACTGCATCAATTTTATTACCTAGTCCTTCGACATTCTGATGCAGTAGCCTAATGCAGGGGATTAATTCACTGGTAGACGAGATGATTGATTCCCTAAAAAAACTCTACTAGGGTAAGTAGGATTGTTAGCAACCTTAGCGGAGTCCTGTCTCTCGGGTACAGATCTAAGCTTGGCTAAAGGGCGCAGCCTATGACTGGGTTTCAGTACAGTACCTCAAATTCCTTGACAAACAACCCACTAGGCCAGAAGTCTGGGTTTAAGACCCGTTCAAAGTTCTTTTCAGGAACCTTAACTTTAAAGCTAGAATAAAAATCAAGCTTAGTCACAAGTTTTTCAGTTTTTAGGTTAGTAATTAGCCATGTATTGGTATCCCTGTTTTCCTTACTTCATTGCCGATCAGCTGATATGGATTGTTGCATATGAGGATTATTGTTATTGGGAATGTCCACAAGATAGTTATGCAGTTTATTGCCAAGCATTAAATTTAAATTTATTTACAGGTATTGCAAACCCAAGCTGAGGACTACTGCAAATCTGCAACCTGTTTTATTAGTTATGTACAATTTGTAAAGACAAATAAATAATTATTTATTGTTACATTCAAATGCTTTGTGGATTATTTTAAATACAGTACCAAATTAAATACCCATACCGCAGCAAACCTGTAGACTAAGTGAATTTCCATTTACCTGTTCTTTTCTATTAAAGCAACCCAAATTACAAGTACTGTGAGACACTATTCAACGACAAAACAAGCTCATATGTTGGTATCCCTGTTTTCCTTACTTCATTGCCGATCAGATGATCTGGATTGTTGCATATGAGGATTATTGTTATTGGGAATTTTTGTAAACAAGACTCAACATGCATTCTTGATGGATGACTTTTTCCAACACTAAGGTAGTAGCCAAACATTGTGCAAAAACTCAATGGTGGAACTTGATATTAGAGTAACCGAAGTGGTACCATAGACTAACCAACACAAGTATACTTCTCATCCCATTGTAAATTTTGAAGCTGGTTTTTCATGTCTATTTCATGTCCGGCGACACTGATCTATTATTTTTCTTTGCTCTATGTTGTTAGATTATTTTTTACCAGTTGGCTTCAAGTCAGCGTATCTTTTAAAAATTAAATCACATAGGCTACCGGTAGTTACTTTTTTTTAAACGTACACAAGCACAACAAAGGGTGAAAAAGTAGTGGAGCGGCGAAGCTAGAGTATAGCGGAGAGCGTAGCCAAGAGGGTTTTAGATCATACATGTACGTAGGTGCACCGTGTAGAAAGTCATAGTGGAGCGGGGAGCGTACTAGACTCTCCGCTCCGAAATTCTACCCCGATTTCTTTACCTCGAGGGTTTGATCGAGGGTCGAGCCTCAGGGGTCAAACCGACTTTAAAGTGTAGTTTTATTTCATCAGTTTGTGAAGGCCATCCTGTTTAGGATAATGAATAATTTTATTACAATAGATGAAATGATAATGAAGTAATTATTCTTGTCAAAAAAGTACAATTTTCCTATTAACACGTTCAGTGCTGACTACATCAATTGATTCATTGTTGCATAATCAATTGATGTAGTCGCGCCACGAGCGCTCCTATGGGCCTACATCAATTGATGTAGTTGCGCAACCCCCACTACATTAGTTCAGTGTGAGCTCAGCCATTGCCAGGGAACGTTAAAATCGTTGCTAGCCTGTAGTTTAGAATGTGAGCTTTATTTGGCGTAGGTTGGTACTAAAATTTCCCATAAAATTCCGTCTGACAATGCTTTTGTCCCGGTTTCGGGTATTTTCTCTCTTCAAGCCATATTACAAAGCCATTGACTACTGATCCAGGCAGTGGTGCTACCTTTGA